TGAGGTCTGAGACCCTGTCTGCTCAAATTATAACCAAGAAAACTAATATATGTCAGCATGAATTGACATTTATCTTTGTTTATCTTTAAACCTTTTTCACCAACTATTTTCAAGACTTTATCAAGTGTTATAAGATGTTCAGTGTCATTCTTACCAGTTATGTACACATTGTCAAAGTAAACACAAACATTTGGAATGTCCTGAAAAATACTGTCCATGACAGCCTGGAAAATTCCAGGGCTAGATGATATACCAAAACATAGTCTTTCATATTGGTAGAGCCCCTTATGTGTGTTTATTGTCGTATAGACTTTTGAATCTGGATGAAGTTCTAGTTGAGTGTAAGCATGACTAAAGTCTAATTCAGTGAATTTGTCTCCTCCTGCCAAATTCAAAGAAATTTCCTAAATGTTAGGAATAGGGTACCTATTTAGCTCTATTTGCTTATTCAGTGTAGCTTTATAGTCTCCACAAATTCTTACAGAACCATCCTTCTTTAACACTGGCACAATGGGCGTTGCCCAATCGGAATAGTCTACCTTCTTTATGATGCCATTAGATTCCAATCTACTTAGCTCATTTTCAATTTTATCCCTCATTGCATAAGGTGGAACTCTAGCTTTGCAGTATCTTGGGTCTGTGTCTTTAATGCTTATCTTCACTGTCCTATCATTTAGTAACCCTGAACTACCAAAAACACCTTCATTTTCAGATACAACTTTATCTATTGAAGTAAAACTAGATTCTCTTGCTTTGTTCACTGAAAATATACTCCCCCAGTCTAACTTAAGATCAACTAACCAGTTCCTACCTAGTAATGGTGGTCAATTTCCTTCAAACACAAGAAGAGGAAGTTTAACACTTTGACCATCATAGCTTATATCAGGTGTCTCCAAACTACGGCCCGCGGGCCAGATGCGGCCCGCGATGTACTCTCATCCGGCCCGCGGAGATCTTTTTGTCAACGGAAAAAAACGTTTGTTGGTGATGGCTTAGGAACTTTGCAAAGAGAAATCAAAGACATGCCTGAAAGAAACTGGCCCCCGAACTGAAATTTTATAGTTAATGCGGCCCTCGGACTGAAAAGTTTGGAGACCCCTGGCTTATATGAACCATACACTCTCCTATCGCCGGAACATTGTCACCTGTGTATGTTGTTAGACACTTGTGACATGGTTGTAGAGGCACTGATCCTCCTGTGACAGCGTCAAAGTCCTTCTTTGTGATGACGGTTAGAGATGCTCCCGTGTCAAGTTGGAAGATGATGCTCTTACCGTTGATACAAACTAGTACATTGATGGGAGCATGACTTATTGATTTCACAGAGAACAGGTTGAACTCCGGCTGCGGATCAGTTTGAGCATTTTCACAGGTAGAGTGGTTCATTGGTTGGGTTAGGCTGTCTTGGTGACAGTTAACATAGTGCTGCCTTTGGTTGCGGTACTGTCTTGACTGGCTAGATCTAGCAACAGACGAAGACTTTGCAAAGCAGGCCTTGGCAATGTGACCTTGCTTACTGCATTTATAGCAAGTTGCTGACTTGAACTTGCATCGATGAGATGCATGGGGACCGTTGCATCGATGGCATTTTTAATAATTATTACTAGATTTAGATCTAGGATTTGAACTTGCAGGCTGTTTAGCATAAGTTGAACTGCTCTGATGGGGTTGGTGTTTGTTGTCTGACCTGCTGTCTACTGCATGGATCCCTGAGGGCGTTAGAGATCTGGCCGCCTCGGATGACTGCTGGTATGAATTTGCAAGTTGTATTGCTTTTTCCAATGTTAAATCTGACTCGAGAAGCAACTTTCTTTGAACATCAGGGCTGTTTACACCTGTCACAAACTTTTCACATAGTCTGTCAGACAGCGTGTCCCCGAATTCACAAAATTCACTTAGATGACGTAAAGCAGCAACATATTCTGATATTGATTCGTTTGGTTGACGAGTCCTACCGTCAAATCTGGCTCTACACAGGAACTTGGGTGGTGCGGGCGCATGGTGGTCTGTTAGCAGTTTGCTCAGCTCGTTAAAGCTCTTGGTAGCTGGACTAGCTGGTGCGCATAAGTCCTTTAATAGCCTAAATTGTTGAGGCCCTATGACTGTTAACAAAACAGCTCTCTTTTTGGCTTCTATCGTCACGTCGTTAGCTTCAAGGTAAAAGCTTAACCTATCTAGATAATCATGAATAGTTTCATCATTCGAATCAAATTCTTTTATCTGGCCATACAGCGCCATTATCCTACAAATACTTAGCCAATATGCACTAGCAAGCTTCTTCTTAAGTAAGCATGTGCTCTTTTTAGTGGATGATTTATCCTCGTCGCCAAATGAAGTAGATTTGTACTTCGATAGATAATACAACAGACGAGGAAGCCATTTTCTATGCACACCACGTTTTATTCTGTATCGGAAACAGGAAGCACATGCAAGGGACATCACTCAAGCATTATAAGACTAATACAAGAAGAGTGAGTTCCCCTCAATATAAAGCTCAATATATTACAATATATATATATAAATATATAAATATAAATATATATATATATATATATATATATATATATATATATATATATATATATATATATATATATATATATATATATATATATATATATATATATATATATATATATATGTGTGTGTGTGTGTGTGTGTGTGTGTGTCTATAAAAGTTACTTGGTCTTTAGTTCTAAGTAAAAAGAAATGTAATAAATGTAGGTCTATGTATTCACAATTTATTTTGCATTAGTAAATAAATAATGGTTACTTTAAATGCTCTTATGTCTCAATGTAATTCAACATTACAGTAATTGTAACATTTTTTTGTCTATGCCATGGCTTCTGTTAACATTTAGCTTATTCCATTCAACCTTTATTTCTGGGAAGGCCTCTGTTTTGTGATGTCATTATATAAACTACATGTTATATATATATATATATATATATATATATATATATATATATATATATATATATATATATATATATATATATATATATATATATATATAGTTGAGGGTGCCCCGGGAAAAGTTTCAGCCAGGGGCACCGCTGAAGCTCAATCCTCCCCTGCTTATACTAATTATAGTCGAAGACTTACCTCTAAACCATGCACCTATTCTCAGATTTGACAAAAGTCGCATTTAGAGTTTTTTTCACGCAAATCTTAGGGTGGGGTGGGGGTTGAGCCACTCCCTCCCCCGAAGAACCTCTACCGCTCCCTTTACCGAAATAGAATTTTATATAGAAAATATACTTTTTACCAGTGTCAGACCCCCCCCCCCCCACACACACACAGAACATTTCTAGTGCCCCTTCCCCCCTACGGGTACAAAAAAGTCTGAAAGGAACACTGGTCGCACTAGTAGATCATACAGAATTAAGGTAGACTTCTATAATTTAGACCCGATTTGTTCCTACTTTTAGCCGCTATACCTCAATCAGGAAGATTGTGTTTCTTTCAGACTTTTTTCTCCGGGGGGGGGGGGGCACTTACATTTTTCTTGGGGACGGGGGCGGATTGAATTCTCCTGAGGAGGAGGGGGGCTAACACTGGTCCGAAATCCACTATATTTTTCAACGTAAAATGTATGTTTGTGATATTGGTAGAACTTCTGTACCGTACTATACTGTATCCTACAAATAATAATTTTAAAAAACAGCACTTTTTTGTCAGACACCAGTCAGCACTAGTCAGCAGCTATAAATTCACTTGCTGATTAATTTAATTCATAAAACAAAGATGGTAAGACTATTTTTTTTTAAAAATATTATTTAGAAAAAGTTATTCATTAGTAAATTAATTAAGTGAACATTATTTATAGTTATTGCTATTAATAAATAACGTCATTTCGGAGTGAGGGTCTGGCTTTTTTGTAAGTCCTTAAAAAGAGCGAGTCGTCATTTGTGGATGGTCCCTAAATCAGACGGTTATCTGACGCGTAAGCTGGCCACATACAGTTGTATATGTGAAAAACATTTTACTGTATTGTATGCATTACTACACCATGTATCCTATCGCCATGAAATTTTGGGAAATTGTTGAGTACAGCCTCGCAAAAGTTGCAATCATAGTCATAGGCGTAACGCTACCCACAATCTCCCCCCCCCCCCCAAACGCACACACACACACCACGCTCCCCCGGACAGTTTTAAATGCCCTACCCGGAGATAAATATCTAAAGAAAAACCGGGTAGCCTGTATGTAAAGAGAAGAGAGCTAACAGTCACCAGAATTGCCCGTGAAACGGGTACCGATGGCTAGTTTATAATAAGTCACTGCGATGCAAGTAAAAAGCACAACATGTGGTGTGTTTACGGTTCTAAAATTTATAGCGATGACGAAAGGAAGGAAGATGAAAGGACTGACACACTACTACCTGCGTTATATTATAGATGTCGGGTAGGGGGTGATGACAGGTTGTATTTATACGTAAATGTGTGCAAGTGTTAGAAATTTTGAAAAAAATTGAAGCTTGTGAAGCAAACATTAAAACTTTTTACAATGAAAACCAATAATTAGGCGGTAAATTTGGGGGCCCCTAAAAATCGGGGACCTCTAGCTGCAGCCCTTTCAGCCCCCCCCCCCCCCCCCTTAATCAAGTTTCTTCTTGTGGGAGCCTTTTTTTTAGTTCCTCCACTGCTTAAAAAAATCACATAGCCGTTAACAATTTGTTTACAAAAGCTATACAAATTATTATAAATAATATAAACATGTCATTTTGTGCCTCTAAATCTCCTTACGCCACTGTAGGCCTATGTTAATGTAGACCTATTAATTTCATTTGTCGTGAAACTGGAACCTTTTTGGAGCGCCCCAGGCAGGTTAATATAATTTATTAAAGGCTACCAGTATTAAAAGCGTTGGTAACTTAAAATGACTTAAATAATATATATTAAAATGTCTGAACACATCAACGTTTGGATCATTTAACGTTCCAGGAACGGTAACGCTAATTTTTTTAGCATTGACGTCATGTTGTAACAGTAAATTCAGAACACTTAGCCGATGTAACTAGATCTAGATCTAGATTCTAAATGAATTAAATGATTCGATAATATTCGATATAGATCTACAAGTCTAGATCTAGAATCTAGTCTAGATTCTAGATCTAGAAAATCTAGATCTAAAATCTTTCTAGATTTAGATCTAGAAAATCTAGATCTATCTAGATCTAGGTACTAGAGTAACTAGACTTTACTACTAGACTCTAGTAAAGTCTAGTTACTCTAGTACCTAGATCTAGACTCTAGAAGATCTAGATTCTAGATTCAATCTTTCTAGATCTAGAATCTAGATCTAGATTCTAGAATCAAGATAGATTTGTTAGTATACTTAACTAGTAATAACTAGATCTAGACTTATGACTTAGGCCTATGCTATAGTCACTATAGTCTTATATTACTAGATCTAGATCTATTAGTCTATTAGGCCTAGATCTATAATATTTGATTTATTTATAGTATTTTGTATAGTAATAGGCCTAATGCCTAATAATATGGCTAATATTACTAGATCTAGATCTAATAAGTTAATAACTAGATCTAGGGGCCTAATAATATTAATATAGAAATTATATAAAATTATCAAGTAGGTTATTTATTTACTTTAGAATCTAGTATTTACTAATGTAGTAAATACTATTTACTATTACTAATGTCCTAGGCCTATTTAATAATTATAGGTAAATTATAATATTAAATAATAAAAATAGGCCTAGACCTACTAACTACTATACTTTCTAATAACTTATACACTGTCGGCCTAGTTAATAGTAAGTGTGTATAATATTAATATAGCAGTATAAGTATTGACCTAGGGGTCATCCATAAATGATGTCAAAGTCGTAGGGGGGAGGGGTCCGTAATTTTGTGACGGTGTGTGATGAGGGGGAGGCTGGGTCAGATGGTGTGACGTCACTTTTTTTTATTATAAAATAAACCGGGAGTGATCTCCCCTAAACTTTCTCGAATATTCTTATATAACTTGGAATATAGACATGATTTTTAATTACTTAAACTTTTAAAAATAGAATAGAATCTCATAGAAAAAATAATTGTGCACCAAGCGAATGCCAAAACAAAATGTGCATAATAGTGCACAATATTATTACTTTATTAGTACTTTATAAATTTACATGCAATTTTTGAGAAATCGGAAATAGCGTAAATTAATACTTCCGGTCAATGGAAATTACTCAAAATTTGACAGAAGGTAGAGAATTAGATCTTTTACATACCTGTGAAATTTCATTTATCTATCTGAAATAGTACTCAAGTTATAGGCTTTTGAAAAATTCAAAGTAGAAAAAGTACCACTTCCGGTTATTGGAAATCGCTCAAAAGTTGATAAGGATCTACGATTTTGATAAAATACTTATATATGAAATTTCATTAACCTAGCTGTAACGGTACTCAAGTTATCGTGTTTACACACAGACAGACAGACACACACAGACATACGGACAAGATTGCAAAATTATATTTTTCCGTATCAGTGAGGTGTAAAACGTCGAGGTTTGTAAAAATCTTGATTTTTTTTTTTTTTTTTTGCACGATTACAAGACTTTCTCTGTATATGTATATATACGAGAAAGTAAAAAGCAATGTTAGAAAATGAGTTTTAGCCGTTATTTCGCATTTTAGAAAACTGTTTTAATAAATTGTAAGAGAAATTGATCAAAATAATCTATGTCGACAGAGTTCTGACAAGATTTTGGAAAAATATCGATGTTATAAGAAAAATTCAACAGCAATTTTGTTGAGGGGGGTTGTAGGCTGAGGTGTGACATCATTTTAGAAGGGGGGGTCTGGCTTTGTCTGACTGAGGAGAGGGGGGAGGTAAAAATCGTCCAAAAAGCGTGACATCATTTATGGATGATTAGTATCTATATATATAATTCTCTTCTTGGAGGTGTTAGAAAACACCAAGCTGTAAGCGTGCCTAGCAGTTCCCTCTCTTCCTCTCTAGGCATATCGCAATCACCCCCACCCCCACATGGTCTGGGGAGCTGTGGTTCACGCTAAATGTTTACAATTGTAGAGCCGGGTTTAGTGACGCCTATTGCATTGGTACTGCCGAATTCACAAATCATGAATTACTGAAAAGTAGAAAATAAAACTAAATAGCAGCGTGTGATACGCCGCGGGTCGGCTCGTAGATTATATTATAGAATATAGATATAGTTCTAATTAAGCCTAATAGTAGGCCTAATTAATTAGGGCCTATTAGTTAGGCCTACAGATCTAGACTACTTCATTTAGAATAATTTAAATCTAGACTAGCTAGAGTAGAGAAATTCTAAAATAAAATAAATGAGATTTTATTAAAATTTAAATGACGTAGTCCAGGAGTGGTGGGGACGGGATACTCAGTGTCATACAAGCCCTTGGTATTCCATGTTACAAGACCATTGGGGCCCCAGTAGATGCTCCATTGATTGAAGAAGGTCTACCACCATGATGGATTCCAGGTGCTAAGGGGAACTCTGGATATCAAACCTCACCCTACCCCCTTTGATATTGAAATTTTTATGGCAGAAACTTCCCCAAAATTAGTATCAGCAACTTTCTAAATTTTTATGACGATTTGATTAATGGTGTACTAATGCATAATAGATAATTCTACCAACATCCAGACATTTAAATTTTTTATGTATACTACTGTACCAGTCACGCATTGCTGCGATCAAATCCTACACACTAGAGTGACAAAATATTTACAGGTTTTCATCAATATGTTGAAATCATGTATTTTTTAGATATGTGACCTTGTTATCTAAAACTGAATGATTTAAATATAAACAAATCCAGCGCTGTTTCTTGGATCATAGTTGTATGGGCATGGGTTTGTCCCCATTAGCTCCCAAATGCCACTGGGCATGCTGAATGAAAGCCTTTAATGTTTGAATGCACCTTAGGCCTAATTACATATAAGATAGAACACTCCTCTGCAACCAACTAGTTGTTAGGGGGCATCGGCGGCACTCTCAGCAGTCACCAGTTACACTGTCACTGGATCGCCGTGTGCGACCCCTGTTTCACTAATGTAGTGTGTGTGTATATATATTATATATATATATATATATATATATATATATATATATATATATATATATATATATATATATATATATATATATATATATATATATATATGCATGTATGTATGGGAATATATTATTATTTGACATGTTTTGATAACCAGTTAAAAAGGTCAAAGATCTGATAAACATGGCATCAAAAAGAATGGAAAACTGCTTTTATCTCCTGCAGGTACATTTTGTTTGACAATCTATGACTTTACTACATTATTTATTTTCAAACAGATGTTTTTCAGGCTGATATTGTTTGAAACAATTGATTAATTTTATACTAAAACTTACAGGAAATAAAACAGGAAATGTCTATCAATATGTCTGCGTGTATTAATGAACTTCACAAAGTATTTCAAAACATTGAAAAGATGTGTGACAATTTTGAAAAACGTTTGAAGGAAGCAGAGCAAAATTACCTTGCAGAAGTAAGTAATACAGCTTCAAACTAAAGGTTCTTTAAGGTTACCCAGATAGGGTCTGAATAAATAAAAATGAGAGATTCATCTGAAGATATAAAAAAAGTTGCCGAAAATCAAGCCAGTAAAATGACAGCCATGCATTAAACTTTGATAATAGAGAACAGCTCTTCAAAGTGCATGTATTTTATTTTGTCTTGGACATAACACATGCTCAAATTAATGATCGTTTCATAAGCATGCATAGTTTGGCAAATTGTTTTGGATTACTCGAACCAAAAAAACATTCAAATTACCAGAGACTGATATTTTAAAACTGCGAAAAATTTCAAAAACAGTATCCAGAGATGTTATCTCCTGATTCAATTTCTGAATGCTACTTCAATTGTAAAGAATGATAGAAGGAAAATATGTCAATTAAAACATTTGCAGATTTACTTCTCACGAAGTACAGTTGTTTAGAAAGTGAATTTTCAGAAATCTTTACTGCTTTCTTGTTGTATTTTACTCTTCCTGTTATAGTAGCAAGTGTTGAGAGGTCGTTTAGCAAACTTAAGATGATTAAAGATTATAATAGTAATTCGATTAGCCAAACTAGACTGTGTGATCTGGCTATCCTAAGTATAGGCAATACAAAGCAGCTAAAGTGAACCTCAGGGAACTTATTAATCATTTTGCAAATATAAAAGCAAGAAAAAAAACAAATCTAAATAAATCTTGAGCAACTTTTTAATATTGTGGTTGGTTACTTATAATTTACAGGCTTACATACAATTTTTATTTTATATAAAAGTGATATAAACAAAATGTAACTAACAGTACATGGTAGGCTACTACATTAATTGACATATTTTCCTTCTAGTCATTCTTTACAATTGAAGTATAATATATGTTATTTAATATATACCAGTAGTGAAAATTGGTTTTTGTTGAGCTTGCTATTAACAAAAACTTGCATGTTATTAGCTGCAAAGAATCCTAGGATCTTATACTATAGCACTGATAATGGGGGGGGGGGGGGGGCAGAGCAATGGTAGAAAAAACATAACCAATGTCCCAATGTCTAACACTGGTCATCTACTTAAAAACACACACTACAATGAACTACGTGAAAAGCATTTATTTTTATTAAGGTGACAAACTACTCGGATGGTTAAAAACCTAAATGTTTTTCTGTTATTAACTTATACTGGGATAATAATCACTGGCTAATTTTTTTTTAATGGTATGTCAAATTACTTTTGCTAACTCCTTTCATCAAGTAACTTAGTATCTTAGACTTAAATACTGCAGATAAATTCTGGTAGAATAGGATCACTAAGGTGTAAACTAAGTTCTTTCTGGTTTAAATTAATCTTTCTCAATTACTTAGCCTGACCTTCTAGGGTCCAAAATAGTTTCAAATTTTTGTAGCAGCAACTACTCTAGTGTTGAATTGAACCAATATTAACACTTATAACAACTACAGTTCTGGTTTTATTATAGTTAAATGGAGGGTGTGGGGATCACAAATTTAAAAAAAGGAAGCTGAAATTAATCTGTAATCTACATTAGTATGTTGATCTAGATACTGGCTAAAATTAACTTAGTATAAACTATACTAAACCTAAATAAACTAGATTCAATTTATAACACTCATATTAACTGTGCATAGGGCCTATAATGTGTAATTTCTTAGTATTTATTTTCTGCTTAGCAAAGTAGCATTTGGGCATATATTCCTCTTTTTTGCTTCAAATTCCTTTTTTTTTTGTTCCTACTTTTGCTCACCAGGGGTAGGCATGTCTGCTGTCACTCTTGAAGTACATATAATTCAAATTTTGGTAGGCATCTTGGGTGGGGAGGTACCTGAGCAGCAAATAAGGTGAAACTTGTTACACCCTAATATGCTGCCAATCTACATAAAATTCAAACTTTGGTAGGCATCTTGTGTGGGGAGGTACCTGAGCAGCAGATAAGGTGAAACTTGTTACACCCTAATATGCTGCCAATCTACATAAAATTCAAACTTTGGTAGGCATCTTGTGTGGGGAGGTACCTGAGCAGCAGATAAGGTGAAACTTGTTACACCCTAATATGCTGCCAATCTACATAAAATTCAAACTTTGGTAGGCATCTTGTGTGGGGAGGTACCTGAGCAGCAGATAAGGTGAAACTTGTTACACCCTAATATGCTGCCAATCTACATAAAATTCAAATTTTGGTAGGCATCTTGTGTGGGGAGGTACCTGAGCAGCAGATAAGGTGAAACTTGTTACACCCTAATATGCTGCCAATCTTAATGGGGCTCGTGTTTAATGTCCATCTGTTTGTCTTTTGAAATATCTGTCAGTATCTGTCAGTATCTGATTTGAGCAGAATTTTGATATTTCGCACTGATCAATCATCCTCTTTATTACAACAATCGTCACATTGGTTTATGGATGGAACATGTAGCGTTGGGTCTGAGATATTTTAAAAATTTTGCACAGCTCATGCACTCATTGCTTGCCTTTACTGTTTTCTGCCAAACAAAAGAACTAATCCTATCACAATCTTTATTGTGAAATTAAAAGAACTAATGTTAGCTGCACAGACTATTTCAGCTATGCTGGATTATGGAAAAATCCGCCAAGAATATTATTTCAGAATGGCATAAGCATACAAGGCGGTTTTTTATCATTTAACACAGAGCCTATGCTAAAAAAGTACAGGTGACACAGATTTTGTCACGATGGTAAGGATGACAGGTGCTTTGGCTTTTGTACCAATAGCAAACATCGGAGATGTGTTTGAAGAACTTTGAGAACACATAGAAAATATGTAGCAACTGTTGGATTATTCTGAGGATAATTATATTGGCAGAGTAAGGCATCGAGGCTGAGCTGTTCCACTTATGAGCCTCACATCTGGAACATACACCATTGGGTGGTAAATAAGTTGCCTCGTTTAGGGTTGCTCGGGCAGATGAGGCTCGTTAGCTGGGGACAGCCACTCTTCTAGGAGAGACAACTCCAAAATTAAACAACTGCTGACTTGTAGTTTGTTCTTGGTTGGACAAAGGCTATGGAAGCAAATCCAAAAAGAAAAGCAGGCTGAAATCGAGTCAATGGCCTCAATGGCTCATAACCAGTTGACACGTAACGCTTAATTGTGTTGGAGGCGTGGTCGAGTCGGCAAAAAGCTCATGGTTGATAAATTCGAACAAAGTCTGGAGTTCAAACCCACTGGCAGATAAATCTCTATCCCCTTCAACACTAATAATTAAGAACGAAGAAGAAGAAGTTTAGGGTTGGCATAGAAAAATGCAAGCTGCAGTTGCTGCTGACCATCTAAATGCTTCATAAATTTTCTCAAATGTCCTGCTCCCATCTTCTAATACTACTGCTATATATTTTTTGCTGCCAGTGTATTGAAAGTAATTTCCTATGTAAATGTGTTTAAAACAAATAATATTATAAATTCAAAAGATACACATTGTTCAAACAACATGTAGTAAGCAGCATAATATTTTGTATTACCTTTTTTAAATTTTAAACAATAAGGTTATTTTTAATATTTTAGGTACAGGTGGAGCGAGAAAATTATAAAAGCCAATACAGAAGCCTTCAGCAAATTATTCAGCAAATCCAAATTAAAAAAGGAAATCTTGATATACAGGTATGTTTGATGTCTTTATTAACCCCTTACTGTCTACTACGATTACATCAGGGATCAAGACCTAAATCCAAAATCAGACAACATGTAGTTTTAAGTCTCATCACTTCTTTTGCCATATAGATGGTTTATACACTGAATTAACATTTTATAGCAACTACAAGAATCTTTTCTATGATGTTAAGGTATTGGGTTGTGTTACAAGAATCTTGTCTGTGATGTTAAAGTGTTGGGTTGTGTGTATTACTGTAGGTTTGTGTGTTACTGTAATTGTTGGGTTGTGTGTGTTACTGTAAGTGTTGGGTTGTGTGTGTTACTGTAAGTGTTGGGTTGTGTGTGTTACTGTAAGTGTTGGGTTGTGTGTGTTACTGTAAGTGTTGGGTTGTGTGTGTTACTGTAAGTGTTGGGTTGTGTGTATTACTGTAAGTTTGTGTTACTGTAATTGTTGGGTTGTATTACTGTAAGTGTTGGGTTGTGTGTGTTACTGTAATTGTTGGGTTGTGTGTGTTACTGTAAGTGTTGGGTTGTGTGTGTTACTGTAAGTGTTGGGTTGTGTGTGTTACTGTAAGTGTTGGGTTGTGTGTGTTACTGTAAGTGTTGGGTTGTGTGTGTTACTGTAAGTGTTGGGTTGTGTGTATTACTGTGAGTGTTGGGTTGTGTGTGTTACTGTAAGTGTTGGGTTGTGTGTGTTACTGTAAGTGTTAGGTTGTATTACTGTAAGTGTTGGGTTGTATTACTGTAAGTGTTGGGTTGTGTGTGTTACTGTAAGTGTTGGTTTGTGTGTATTACTGTGAGTGTTGGGTTGTGTGTGTTACTGTAAGTGTTGGGTTGTGTGTATTACTGTAAGTGTTGGGTTGTGTGTGTTACTGTAAGTGTTGGGTTGTGTGTGTTACTGTAAGTGTTAGGTTGTATTACTGTAAGTGTTGGGTTGTATTACTGTAAGTGTTGGGTTGTGTGTATTACTGTAAGTGTTGGGTTGTGTGTGTTACTGTAAGTGTTGGGTTGTGTGTGTTACTGTAAGTGTTAGGTTGTATTACTGTAAGTGTTGGGTTGTGTGTATTACTGTAAGTTTGTGTTACTGTAATTGTTGGGTTGTATTACTGTAAGTGTTGGGTTGTGTGTATTACTGTAAGTGTTGGGTTGTGTGTGTTACTGTAAGTGTTAGGTTGTATTACTGTAAGTGTTGGGTTGTGTGTATTACTGTAAGTTTGTGTTACTGTAATTGTTGGGTTGTATTACTGTAAGTGTTGGGTTGTGTGTGTTACTGTAAGTGTTGGGTTGTGTGTGTTACTGTAAGTGTTGGGTTGTGTGTATTACTGTAAGTGTTGGGTTGTGTGTGTTACTGTAAGTGTTAGGTTGTATTACTGTAAGTGTTGGGTTGTGTGTATTACTGTAAGTTTGTGTTACTGTAATTGTTGGGTTGTATTACTGTAAGTGTTGGGTTGTGTGTATTACTGTAAGTGTTGGGTTGTGTGTGTTACTGTGAGTGTTGGGTTGTGTGTATTACTGTAAGTGTTGGTTTGTGTGTGTTACTGTAAGTTTGTTACTGTAGCTTTGTGTGTTACTGTAAGTGTTGGGTTGTGTGTGTTACTGTAAGTGTTGGGTTGTGTGTGTTACTGTAAGTGTTAGGTTGTATTACTGTAAGTGTTGGGTTGTGTGTATTACTGTAAGTTTGTGTTACTGTAATTGTTGGGTTGTATTACTGTAAGTGTTGGGTTGTGTGTATTACTGTAAGTTTGTGTTACTGTAATTGTTGGGTTGTATTACTGTAAGTGTTGGGTTGTGTGTATTACTGTAAGTGTTGGGTTGTGTGTGTTACTGTAAGTGTTAGGTTGTATTACTGTAAGTGTTGGGTTGTGTGTGTTACTGTAAGTGTTGGGTTGTGTGTATTACTGTAAGTGTTGGGTTGTGTGTGTTACTGTAAGTGTTAGGTTGTATTACTGTAAGTGTTGGGTTGTGTGTATTACTGTAAGTTTGTGTTACTGTAATTGTTGGGTTGTATTACTGTAAGTGTTGGGTTGTGTGTGTTACTGTAAGTGTTGGGTTGTGTGTGTTACTGTAAGTGTTAGGTTGTATTACTGTAAGTGTTGGGTTGTGTGTGTTACTGTAAGTGTTGGGTTGTGTGTGTTACTGTAAGTGTTGGGTTGTGTGTGTTACTGTAAGTGTTGGGTTGTGTGTGTTACTGTAAGTGTTGGGTTGTGTGTGTTACTGTAAGTGTTGGGTTGTGTGTATTACTGTAAGTGTTAGGTTGTGTGTGTTACTGTAATTGTTGGGTTGTATTACTGTAAGTGTTGGGTTGTGTGTATTACTGTGAGTGTTGGGTTGTGTGTGTTACTGTAAGTTTGTGTTACTGTAAGTGTTGGGTTGTGTGTGTTACTGTAAGTGTTGGGTTGTGTGTGTTACTGTAAGTGTTAGGTTGTATTACTGTAAGTGTTGGGTTGTGTGTGTTACTGTAAGTGTTGGGTTGTGTGTATTACTGTGAGTGTTGGGTTGTGTGTGTTACTGTAAGTGTTGGGTTGTGTGTGTTACTGTAAGTGTTAGGTTGTATTACTGTAAGTGTTGGGTTGTATTACTGTAAGTGTTGGGTTGTGTGTATTACTGTAAGTGTTGGGTTGTGTGTGTTACTGTAAGTGTTGGGTTGTGTGTGTTACTGTAAGTGTTAGGTTGTATTACTGTAAGTGTTGGGTTGTGTGTATTACTGTAAGTTTGTGTTACTGTAATTGTTGGGTTGTATTACTGTAAGTGTTGGGTTGTGTGTATTACTGTAAGTGTTGGGTTGTGTGTGTTACTGTAAGTGTTAGGTTGTATTACTGTAAGTGTTGGGTTGTGTGTATTACTGTAAGTTTGTGTTACTGTAATTGTTGGGTTGTATTACTGTAAGTGTTGGGTTGTGTGTGTTACTGTAAGTGTTGGGTTGTGTGTGTTACTGTAAGTGTTGGGTTGTGTGTATTACTGTAAGTGTTGGGTTGTGTGTGTTACTGTAAGTGTTAGGTTGTATTACTGTAAGTGTTGGGTTGTGTGTATTACTGTAAGTTTGTGTTACTGTAATTGTTGGGTTGTATTACTGTAAGTGTTGGGTTGTGTGTATTACTGTAAGTGTTGGGTTGTGTGTATTACTGTGAGTGTTGGGTTGTGTGTGTTACTGTGAGTGTTGGGTTGTGTGTATTACTGTAAGTGTTGGTTTGTGTGTGTTACTGTAAGTTTGTTACTGTAGCTTTGTGTGTTACTGTAAGTGTTGGGTTGTGTGTGTTACTGTAAGTGTTGGGTTGTGTGTATTACTGTAAGTGTTGGGTTGTGTGTATTACTGTGAGTGTTGGGTTGTGTGTGTTACTGTGAGTGTTGGGTTGTGTGTATTACTGTAAGTGTTGGTTTGTGTGTGTTACTGTAAGTTTGTTACTGTAGCTTTGTGTGTTACTGTAAGTGTTGGGTTGTGTGTGTTACTGTAAGTGTTGGGTTGTGTGTGTTACTGTAAGTGTTGGGTTGTGTGTATTACTGTAAGTTTGTGTTACTGTAATTGTTGGGTTGTATTACTGTAAGTGTTGGGTTGTGTGTATTACTGTAAGTGTTGGGTTGTGTGTATTACTGTAAGTGTTGGGTTGTGTGTGTTACTGTAAGTGTTAGGTTGTATTACTGTAAGTGTTGGGTTGTGTGTATTACTGTAAGTGTTAGGTTGTATTACTGTAAGTGTTGGGTTGTGTGTATTACTGTAAGTTTGTGTTACTGTAATTGTTGGGTTGTATTACTGTAAGTGTTGGGTTGTGTGTGTTACTGTAAGTGTTGGGTTGTGTGTATTACTGTAAGTGTTGGGTTGTGTGTGTTACTGTAAGTGTTAGGTTGTATTACTGTAAGTGTTGGGTTGTGTGTATTACTGTAAGTTTGTGTTACTGTAATTGTTGGGTTGTATTACTGTAAGTGTTGGGTTGTGTGTGTTACTGTAAGTGTTGGGTTGTGTGTGTTACTGTAAGTGTTGGGTTGTGTGTGTTACTGTAAGTGTTGGGTTGTGTGTATTACTGTAAGTGTTGGGTTGTGTGTGTTACTGTAAGTGTTAGGTTGTATTACTGTAAGTGTTGGGTTGTGTGTATTACTGTAAGTTTGTGTTACTGTAATTGTTGGGTTGTATTACTGTAAGTGTTGGGTTGTGTGTATTACTGTAAGTGTTGGGTTGTGTGTATTACTGTGAGTGTTGGGTTGTGTGTGTTACTGTGAGTGTTGGGTTGTGTGTATTACTGTAAGTGTTGGTTTGTGTGTATTACTGTAAGTGTTGGGTTGTGTGTATTACTGTGAGTGTTGGGTTGTGTGTGTTACTGTAAGTGTTGGTTTGTGTGTATTACTGTGAGTGTTGGGTTGTGTGTGTTACTGTAAGTGTTGGGTTGTGTGTATTACTGTAAGTGTTGGGTTGTGTGTATTACTGTAAGTTTGTTACTGTAAGTTTGTGTGTTACTGTAAGTGTTGGGTTGTGTTACAAAAGTCTTGTATTTTGCCATCTCCTCGACTATTTTTTTCGATAGTTTTTTAAGAAGCCTTCAGGTCTGTCTTGGATGTCCTTTTTTTTTTTGCCTTCCCTGCAGGTTTCCTGCATCTTTTAACAGAATATGCCCAACCCAGTCGCACTTCCACCTTTTGATCTGTGATGCCATAGGCTTCTGCTTTGTCCCTTTCCATAGTTGTGTGATAAGGACTTTCCTTTGTGTGCAGTTATTTTAGCAATTGTATGCTGAAGTTCAGTGTTCATATTTATATTCTTTTTAGTTTGTCAACTGGTGTTGTCCACTCAAAATTTATTTACATGTATTTTAATTTTTTGAATGGCCCATAACTAATGATATTTTAGTCTTATGGGAATCAATTTTTCTTCCTGTATAGTAAGCTGTGTGGATCAGGCACTAGACCAAATAATGTGCCTAAGGCAGATATATGAAAATGTCAAAATGGATAAAAATAATTGGTCATCAATAAAAAAAATTCACCAATTTTTTTATCACAATTTTATTTAATCAATAGACAAGAATGTTTTTTTTTTAATGTTATGAAAGGAAAAATATTAATTATGAGTTTATTCTTTTAAATTAAATTAAATCCGATTTTTAAAAGTACAGTTGTTAAGCTTCTAAAAGTTTACTATGCTTTATTTTTATTCAAGAAGGGGACTACAATAAATAACCCTACTGTTTCAAATGTTAATTCAATTTCTAAACACAGTTGGAAACTTTCCAGAATTTTTTTTTAATAATCAACACACTTTCCCAAAAGAATGTTGGAAAACCAGTTGAAAAGACCAATACTGAAGCATTATCTAACAATATGGAATGCAGCACAATTTCTGGTAATTTACCTGAACTAGTTTCAAGTCAAACTGCCTTTATATCCAACACAGATGAAAGACAAAGTGTTTTTAATTGGTAAGTATTATTGAAACATTATCATACTTTTATTATACTTGTATCCTATTTTGTTTTTATTCAAACTTTGTGGGGATTGAGTGTAGTTGAATATACACAGCTCTTTAAATGTATCTTCATAATGATATTTAGAACTGAAATAAAAGAGTGTTTTCCAGTCTAATCTTTAAAGGAGCTTATTTAATTGCCTTTAAAGTTTAATTGTTGGTCTGGAATTGGTTTACTGTTGCTGAAAGCTGTGGAGACTTTCCTGCAACCTACAAAAGTATCATTTATGTTTCGTGTCTAGTTATATATGTACATTTTACATAAACACCATTGAGAAAACCTCAGTTTAGGAATTTGTACAACTTTCATATCTGACATCCACATAGAGAACAGGGTAGTGGGGGTCAGAGCAAGTTAACTTATGTGATGGTTTGATCCACATGGGTATCCATATGAAAAACTAACACAAAAATTCAATGATTTTGCTAGCACAATATAAATTTAAATAGGAGTGCTTGAGTTTAATTGAGTCATATTGGTGGAGAAAGATACATAAACAAAAAAAGAGAAATGAAACCCATGTGGATGTACTTATAATTATGATTGGGCAGTCAGCTGCAGAAAATTCTGCTTATTGAAACTTGTGTGTTTCTTTACCACCCAGCTCTTAAAGCTGGCTGGGTGTGATATTACAGAAACAGGTTAACTACCTATCTACCCTGCCATTTTGTTTTACTTTTTATGCTAATCTATACCCACCTTAGAGTATGCTATATTTTAAGAGGTGACCAACAGAAAAAAGCGCAAACAAAAAAAAGCGCAAACAAAAAAAAGTGCAAAGAGAAAAATGCGCAACCAGAAAAAAGCACAACAAAAAATGCGCAAAGAGAAATTTTAGCACAAAGACCTATATGGACTAGATGACACATTTATACACGACTGTTAGGACTGCTGTGGGAGTGTTGTGTTTGATCACGTGATCTACTACCATTTAAAGCATACCACTACCATGTGCATTCACATCACCACGATACAGGCGATAATCGCTTTAAACAATTCCTATTATTTTCTTGGTCAATATTTATTCAACAACTATTCTCGCATAAAGAAACATAAAACTATCCTTGATATCGACATTACACGAAGTATCTCCCACATTCTAGTCCGAGCTAACTAGCTTGCATACCATAACAACCCGTTCCTATGGCAAAACTTAACTCTCTTTCATCCGCGTCATCAAACATGCATTCGTCATATCTCTCGCACTTACATTCATTTGCACCAAAATACCCTGATAAAGCACACATAATAACAATGATGTATTTAATATTGACGCACCTACCTACAAACCAACCAACCAACCTACCTACCTACCTACCTAATTACCTCATATTTATATATATATATATATATATATATATCTGAGGATTGGTGTGAACGAATATTAGTGCGAAAGTTAATGACGCATTGAATAGTTACAATGTGATGTCTTAGTTCGTTGTTGGCGGGGAAAGAAGTTAAAAAGTACTCTTGTTGTTGTGTTAAGGTGATGTGGTACTGTAGTACAGTCTTTGTTTCGTTCGTTCAAGTCATCCTATGTTTTTTTTTATAGTGCAATAAATAGTAAAATTAAATAGTGTTATCCTGTCGAATCATTTGTACACATTGATGTCGTCGTGCTTTGGGATGAACTACTGAATGGCTAGACAGAATATAATGGTAGTGTAGACAATCTCACTGCATAGTTGCGGGACACAATGCCACAGTTATAACATATATATTTATTTATGGGTAGTTGGGTAAGTGGGTGGGTTGGTGGGTAGGTAGGTTGTTAGGTGGGTAGATGTGTGGGTGGGTAGTTAGGTAGGTGGTTGGGTGTTATTATAGATGATATAGATTATGCACATTTACCTTTTGCTAGCTTAGTAACAGTGTTAAAAACTCGAACTTTCAAACTGGTTTGGCGCAAGTTTAGTTCATTGATCCAATTAAGCCCTACATTACATAGTCAATCAGTTTAACAATGTAGATGCAATTGGAGTAGGTCTAAGTCAAAGCCTGATGTTATAACAAAACTTAATCTCTCTTTGTTTCTTTATAAAAAGGTTATGGGATGTTTTTGAAGGTTTTTTACTGAAAATGTTTCCCGGACTAATGCAAAATGATGTCAACATCCACAGCTCTTCTGTTATATAGGCTACATGCTACCCATTATGCTGTTCAGTAAGGGAACATGGCAATACCCCCCCCCCCCCCCTCTCCGTCATTACACCCGGAGTAATAACCCCCCCCCCCCCCCCCTGTCAATTACCCCCGCCCAGTAGGACATTACCCCTGGTCATAGCCTAAGGTTCAGCTAGGGTTAGAGCAAGGGTTTGAGTTTGGGCTAGGGTTAGCGTTAGGGTCAGGGTTAGGCTTAAATCAATGTCTTGATGAATGGGTTTGGTTTTTGGTTAATTTTAGGGTGAGGTGAATTCTTAGGATTTTTGTCTTTGTCTTAAGGTTAGGATTATGGTAATATATAGGTATAGAGTTAGATTTACAATCAGGATTCTATCTTGTTGGGTGGGTGGGTGGGGGGCGGTAATTCCCCAGGGAGGTAATTGACAGGGGGGTAATTGCTCAGGGGGGGGGGTAATGTTTGTAGCTGTTCAGTACATGCTTTGGTTTATGTTAGGATTGTTACATATATGTATTCACATAAATTTAGAGTAGTGACCCTTTTGTTTACATGTTTTCATTATCCTTCAAACTATAGTCTATTTTAGTTATATTGAGATAAAAGAATGTAAATAAATAGTACACACAATTCTGTAGAATAGGAACGATTGGGAGGGAAGTGACATATTGCAGGAAATTTAGAGGTTAGGTTAGGTAGGGTATAAATGGTGTGGTTAGGAAAGTTTGGCTGTCCATTCTCTAATAGGCAGTCTAGGTCTCGTTTGTACTTTCAAACAATAAAGACGTTAATTATATACAGACTTTGTGTTGGTTTATTGTCGACCTTGTCATGTTAAAATAAATAGCATGTAATAGAGCTTGTTCGATGTGAGTTTTCATACAAGCCCAACGCACTAATTAAGGCTGTCGCAAAAGATGTAACATATGTCAATGAATTTTCATTAAAAGAAAAAGATGTCTAGTGCAGTTTACGAAACTAACGACGGTCGCCGATACTTTTACTGTGTGCGGAAATTTCTGTTGGTCGCCGATACTTTTACTGTGTGCGGAAATTTCTGTGTGTGCATTTTTTCAGTTTGCACTTTTTACTCTGCGCTTTTTTTGTGTTTGTGCTTTTTCCGTTTGCGCTTTTTTCTGTTTGCGCTTTTTCTGTATGTGCTTTTTTCAGCTTGTACTTTTTTCTGTTTGCGCTTTTTTCTGTGTGTGCTTTTTCCGTTGCGCTTTTTTTCTTTGCGCTTTTTTCTGGGAACCATTTTAAGAAAATTAGATTTAGAACATAAAAGTACAAGAAATGTTTTAAAATATAAAATATATGATATAGCTAGTCAATATTTCATTACATCTATTCACTGATTCTTTCTCCGCCTCCCCTCTTCTCCTCATAAAATTTAAATTGAAAGGATGTTGAATAGCCTGAAAGTAGCCTATTTCATTTCAGTTGACATAATTCTTCATAATTGTTGCTATGTTGTTGTCTTTGCTCTTTGTTTGATAAATTTTCTTCACCCGTCCATGATTGTTTTTTATTTGTTTAATTTTAGCAACTATAGGAGCACTTTATCAACATTGTTGTGAAAAAACTGTCCGCTCAAGAATTTTGTTACACTTCTGGCATGAAAACTTCCTGTCATTTATTTCATCATTTTATAGCAATACCCATCATGTATTGGTGTAATCTATTCCTACACACCAGAATGACACAACATTTTATAAGGGTTTCATCAACCAAACCCACCCCCTCCCATTTTCATGACAGAAACCTTCCCTGGAGTATTCTCAAAACTTTCCAGTTTTTTTTTTTGGCAATTGGATGAATGGTGTAGTAAATCATAATGACAGACAGACAGACATGCTTTAATTTATATATATACCAGCCGTCCTGGCCAGGCCCTGCATTTGCCATTGTGAAAAACATATCAATAAAGGACACTTTATTGTTGCACGGTTACGGAACTCTAAATCTTACCCTAACAAACCACAACCATAATCATGAATATAATTATAAACATAAACCAACCCTTACCACAACCTCAGCCATATAAATAAATCTCCCCTCCCCACAACCTCATAAATCTATCTAAATATATAAAAAGCACTGTATGTTTGTGTGTGTGTGTGTCTGTTTCTCCTTTATGCATTACTACACCTCTCATCACATCACCGTGAAACTTTGGGAAGTTGTTGAGAATATTCCTGGGGAGGTTTCTGCCAAAAAAAAATTTCAAATTCGCAGGGGTGGCGCCCCGGCAGGGCGCGATTTGTTTTTTTTTTCTATATACGGTATATAAAAATAAAAGTCGATTTTGATTTGGCATCGTTCATCCGATAGCCATGAGACTTTGGGGAGTTCATTATACCACTCTAGGGAAGGGATCTGTAAAAAAATCATTTTTAATTTCGCAAGGGCGGCCCACGGGAGGGTCCGATTTTTCTCTATATACAGTATATAAAAATAATAAAAGTGAATTGCAGTGACACCGTTCATCCGATAGGCATGAAACTTTGGAAGGAAGTTGAATTTATTCCTTGGGAGGTTTTTGCGCTAAAAACATTTTTAAATTTGCAGGGGTGGCGCCCCGGCAGGGCGCGATTTGTTTTTTCTCTATATACGATATATAAAAATAAAAGTCTATTTTGGTTTGACACCATTCATCCGATCGCCATCAAACTTTGGTGAGCTCATGACAACACTTTGGGGAAGGGCTCTGTAAAAAATCATTTTTAATTTCACAAGGGCGGCGCCACGGTAGGGTGCGATTTTTCTATATATACCGTATATAAAATAATAAAAGTGAATTGCCGTGACACCGTTCATACGATCGCCATGAAACTTTGGGAAGAAGTTGAATTTATTTCTTGGGGAGCTTTCTGCACTAAAAACATTTTCAAATTCGCAGGGGTGGCGCCCCGGCAGGGCGCGATTTGTTTTTTCTCTATATACGATATATAAAAATAAAAGTCGATTGTGGTCTCACAACGTTCATCCGATAGCCATCAAACTTTAGGGACTTGATTAGAACACTCCAGGGAAGGGTTCTGTAAAAAATCATTTTTAAAATTCGCAAGGGTGGCGCCACGGTATGGTGGGATTTTTCTCAATATACGGTATATAAAAATAAAAGACAATTGGGTTCGACGCAATTTATCCCGGTGCCATAAAACTTTAGAGAGTTGATGAATACTCCTGAGAAGGTTTCTGGGGTGGGAGGGGGGAATAGGGGGTATGTGGGGGCGGGGGATTTAATTTTGCATGGGCCCCCCCCCCCCCCCAGGATGCGATTTGGCGCCCTGGTCTTTCCCGTGAGCCCTATGGTGAATACGTTTGGTCTAAGCAGTGTGATAGACAATTAGGCTGCAAATAAAAATGTCTGTTTCGGCCCCAAATGCTCACATGGGCCGCTGAGGGCCATGTAATACGCTTTATTTTAATAATCAGAAAAATTAACCAAGGGTAGCTTATTAACTGGGATGTTTCTTTTTGTCCGTAAAAAATCCAAACGGTTTTGTCACTTTGCGAATGATGCAATTAGCATCTATTTTTAGATAATCCAAACAGAAATTGAGATCGAGCATCTAAGAATAGACCATTACTAACGCTAACATATTGCATCAGTCACACTGATGTTTAATATTTTTTTATGTGTTAAATAACAAATCCTGTTCATTTGTGTCACTTTAGTGAATGACGCAATCTGCATCATTGTTAACAGGATGCTATTTTAAGGAGCCAGGGGTCGTACGCCGCGCCTATGCGGTAGTGTAATCGGGGGGGGGGGGGGGCTCCTGAGAGCGGGCCTCTACGTCTCTGACACAGAGGCGGTCACCGAAGTGTGTTCTACCATATTATTTCGGTGAGTGATTAATGTACACTCAAGGTTTTCATGTGGTAGTGTAGGTAAACCCGTGTCCTGATATTTATGATCCAAGCGCAGGCATTGTTTACATTTAAATAACACAGTTTTTGAAAAGAAGGACATGCGTCTAAGAACATATGATTGGTAATGCATTGGTGATATCCTTCTAATATATTTCGTCAGACTATATTCCACCCCGCGGCCACGCGCGGGGGGCGGGTACGCTAGTACCGACATAAAAATCTACACCTAAAAAAACAATTTCATAAATCTACACCTAAAACAACCTCAAAAGTATAAACATTTAACCCTCACCACAAACACAAATTTTAATTTTTTTCTATTTAGTTTAAATTAGTAAATCACACGAAGAAAGAGTGTGTTGTAATTTGTACAATATTTTGACTTCACTATCACTATTTATTACTGGCAAAATGCACAAAAATTCCTTTGGTTTATTTTGTTATAAAATGCACACATAGCATTATCATAAATATCTTTTTGGGTAGTAGGCCTTGTAGAGTAAGTCTTTCAAGCATTTACACTTACGACATGTATACTAGACTTGACCTACTAAAGTGTATACTAAACATGTTATGAGTATATGGAACATCTTCTGAGTCGCAGGGCACAAAACCACGCCCCTTTTTATGTTCTGGGTCAAGTGTTTGTCTTTGCTCGCTGAGCGAAAACATAGTACATGTTCTGAATTTTCAGATGAGTGCGCATGCGTCGAAAACTAGTAAGCGCGCCCTAGGTCTCAGCTGATTGCAAAATTAAATAGGTTATACTGATCTTGAGTTTTTGAGCCCACGATTTCATAATTATAACTTCTCTAGGCCCTACTAAAATTACATTTTTATAATTACTTATTATTTCTTTAATTAAATCCCAAATACGTTTTAATTTAAAAAAATGTAATGTCCAAGGCATTACAATTTTGCCTTAAAACCAGTTTAGGTATTAATTACGAAAATAATAATTAAAAAATGTAATTTAACCAAATGTATCTTGTTCCTTGATTAATATTTTGTTTTAAGTGTATCAACATATTTTCAGTTTCCGTCTGACATGAATAAATCTTTAGGCTCACCAGAATGTGCTAGTGGGATCACACAATCAACTGACTATAAAAACAGGCAGATAAAAAAAGTCATAGGCTAATTATTTAGGTTTAGAATGGGAGATAACATAAAGAAATGAAGGGGGGAGGGGGAATGAGTGTCACATAGACCCTACTCTAAAAACTAGATCTATTTTTTTCTTAATAATAGACTCAGTATAGTTGTAACGCGATCTCAATAAGTTTAATGAACTTGGCAGATGCAAGTTTTCAAAGAAATCGGGCCTTTCAGCAAACAAATATTTAGCCCTGTCCATTGAAGCTGTTTCTGAAGGATAGAGATAAGCAAAGAAGCTGGGGAAATCACTACCATGAGGTGGGGATGGGAGGGAGGGGTAATAACATGTGGGTAATGTCTACGACCCGTGGTATTATACACAGCATTATATTTATAAAAACTGTCTAGCTCCAGTAGCTGGCACTCCAATAAAATTTATAAAATATTGTATGTTCTCTAATTTTTAAATAATTCATTGTTGAATCGCAAGCACAGTGGCTACACCATTTTCCTTTTTAAGAAATAAAGCTGTGTGCTCACTATATACATGTTTTTTTTTACTTTGATTTCTCTTTATTTTAATTATCTGGGCCTATATTATTTACTACGAGCCAACCCGCGGCATATCATATGCCGCTATTTAGTTGTTTTATTTTCTACTTTTCAGTAATTCATAATTTGTGAATTCGACAGTACCAATGCTGCCACTGAAAATATTTACTTTAAAACACTATCAGTAGGTCGTTAAGGGTATTAGGCTAACGCTTCATTTTGATAAATAGCCTTTGTAAGGCTTTTTTTTAAATCTAACATTCAACCATCTGTAAAATTTTTGCTATTTATTGTTGACAATGTTCAAAGTTAGTCTACACAGTCTGTATTGTAGTATGACTTACTTGACTTATTCCTGTGATCTCATGTTGGGCCCATGTGAGCCCTTCCCTTTCACCAGTCATCCTTCAGGACTTGCTGTTCACTTTTCTCTATCCTTGTGGGTTCCATTGCAATGCTTGTTACATGGTGTTTGCCTGTTCTGTTTTGGGGTTTTAATATCCCAGTCGATGGATTATCTCATACTTTGTCACAGACTGAAGATTTTGTCCAGTGATCTTCTGTTGAGAATGTCTTGTACGCATTTTAGTGAAGAACTAGCGTGTTGTCTGGTCATATAAGAAAGTGAACTGTGACCTTCAACTGGTAAGGTTTTACATTTGTCAAGAAGTAGCATGGACTGAAATGAGTGTGCTAGACTTCTATCTGTACTGTAAGGCTGTCACTGAGCTTAGGGGCTCGGCTGGATACTGTTTCATGCCGCTCAAGTCAGATATCTGTCCAACTTTCCAGTGTGCTAATTTTGACCTATAATAGCTTTTTGAACCATTTCTATTGAATAGCATAACATATTGAGAGAAGAGAAAATGGTATATTAAATGCTAAAGGTTATCAAAATGTATTTAGCATCTAATGATCTAGTGTTTTGTTAGACCTTGAGACCTATTATTTTTTTGTGGTATTACATTTTATTGGGGTTTTTTTTCTCTTCCTTCAATATTTGTAATAATAATATATATTTATTTTTTAGGTTGGAAAATTTAGAAAAAAAGCCTTCAGTAGTGAGTGACATAGAACAATCTTCTCCTCAAACTTCACTTTTGTGTGACATAGAACAATCTTCTCCTCAAACTTCACTTTTGTGTGACATAGAACAATCTTCTCCTCAAACTTCACTTTTGTGTGACATAGAACAATCTTCTCCTCAAACTTCACTTTTGAGTGACATAGAACAATCTTCTCCTCAAACTTCACTTTTGTGTGACATAGAACAATCTTCTCCTCAAACTTTACTTTTGAGTGACAACGCACCATCTTCAGTACAACCTTGTGTTTTCAGTGGGAAAAATCAACCTAAGTCACACCTTAAACAAAGTAGATCTTCACATATTCATTTGAAACCACTAGTCTTAACAAAATGCACTAGATCACAAACACATTTACAGCATCCAGTCCTTAGAAAAAGGATATCATCACCTTACACTAAACATCCAATCCCCAAAAGTAAACAACGTCCTGTAAAATCTGCTAAGCTTTGTAAGAGACAGCTCCCACCTGGATGGAAAGTAAAACTAGTACAAAGATCTTCTGGTGTTTCTGCTGGGAAATATGATGTGTATTATTACAGGTTAGTTTGCTTACATTCTTTTCATTCACTACCATTATAAATACAAATGTTTTACAAAAATGTGTTCTTTGTTTATTTTCAGCCCTGAAAACATAAAAGTCCGTTCAAAAAAAGAACTTCTCAGCTATTACAAAGGTCCCAAGGAACATTTAGATTTATTTGAATTTAGTGTTTCAAAATTAATAAAGCAAGGAATGGTAAATGAAAAATAACTAGAAGAGACTACAAAAACAAAAGTATTTGGTAAAGGGATGTTTTACTTTTGGAGATGCCTCACTAATTCTGTTTTGTTTATCATACATGTATGTCTATATCGCATGTGTAAACACATTTATACATCAAGATTGTTTACAGAAAATTTGTAAAAAAAATTTTCAGCTGGTTTGAAAGAAAATCTACTACAGTAAAGCTTTTGTTTTGATTTTGAAAAAACAGCTATTTAAACATATTTTTCCACTAGAATGTTCTTTAAAAAAATGTACATACATTATCACTTGTATTGCCAAAATGAGGTGTGTTTTTAAGAAATGTTTTATTTAATTGTCATTGTTATACTGTTCTATCTCTGCAGATTTATGTTGTACATTGGACACGTGTTTGATTAGAGTGCTGACATGTAGAATTCAGGTGTTATTTTAAAGGTCCATTTTGCCTATATATATATATATATATATAAATATATATATATATATAGAGAGAGAGAGAGAGAGAGTAAGGGTGCCACTTCATTAAATAAAAGAATTATCTGTTTTACTTTCTCTGTGTGTAACATGAAGCGTATTGTTAGAACTTAATTTTTCATTGTAAAGCTAGGTTTGAAAGAAAAAGCTACTCTGGTATTAATTAAACAGAGCAGTTTAAACCTTGCAGTTTTTTGTCCTCAAGAGATAAATAAATCAATTACAAGCACACAAAAAAAGTAGTATGTGTAGTGTTGATTTTGCTTAGTTGTCATTTGCTTGTTGAAGTGTTCTGTTTATATTTCACTAAATTATTTTCACACACATAACTGATGTGGAAGTGTTTGTGGTCAAATCTGGAAAGAACACAATTCTGACATGTTTTCTACTAATAAATGCATTTCCAATGGCAACACAAAAGTATCTGATATTGACACAAATTAAACTTGGAATTTGTTTTAAAAAACTAAGTTAGAGATGACCATATTCAAAATCAAAAGTAGAGATAACTGGGTCTCTGATTGGTCAGGTAAGGTCATGTTCACTGACTTTAATAACGAACAGATAATAGGGCCTAATGTGGAGACCAATTTTTAAAACTCAAGTTACTTATAAATCTAAGAAATTAATTCAGTCATGGCTGAAGGGACTGAAAAATGTTCAGCTTGGAAATAATTAATATGGAACTTATTAAATATTCAAAGCAGGTGACCGCTGCCCATAGACAAAAAAATAAAAACCAGTCAGAGGGGACATCCGACATGCTCTAAGGAAAACTGGAGAAAAAAAAACGGCACTAGACTGTAACACACAGGAGAAAGTGGTCACGCCATGAAAATGCTGGAAGGAGACTGTTGAAGAAAGGGAAGCGCGACCATGCAAGAGCCCATTAGAACTGGGCTGCCAAAAATTGAGTCAGTTGAAGAAGTGTAGTTGCTGCTCTTTGTTCTTCACGATTAGTAAGAGTTTTTTTTTAGCCTTTACACCATCAACAGTATTAAACAAAGCACTATAGAGACTTAACAGAGGCCCATGCACGTTTAGGTGGAGCAGCTAGTAGAAAAAGGCATCATACATACATATATATACACATATATATTATATAATAGCTGTATGGTATTGCTTTGCTATTGTGTAACACATTAAAACTCATTTAAGAACAAAACACTCTGTATAACAATAACACATAACAATTTATCACACAAAACACAACACAAAATATTTAAACAAATCAACCAAAAACATATCAAACGGAACACAACTGCTTTTTAATCATTGTAAAAAAAATAGCAATTTGACATGATGTAATATTAAAATGATTTAAGTACTTAAGAAAAAAAAAAGTACAACAGGGGAGATGATCACTCTTAAAAAAAAGAAATATATTTAGGTTTGTATAATTCTACATTCTTAATTGTATTTTTTTTTTTCAAATTCAACCAGATCCATTATTTCCTTATTTTTTAATATAATCATTCATTGCTATTCAATTTTTTAAAAAACAATTTTATCTACAATTGGAATTAAATATATCATTATAAATTATTATAAATGCTAAAATATCAAACCATAGAAAAAGTGGAGTTATAAAAATCGCTTTGAATAATTGTAATTAACAGTGGTAGCTAGAGCGTTTTAAGTTTAAGTAATTTTAAATTTTCAATTAAATCAATGTACTTGCCTGTCAGATTATTGCAGTTTTGTTATAGATATTGCTTTTTGTGGTGGTTTTTTTTTTTTACAGATGATAGTAAAACATGATAGTAAGGTATGGGTTAGATCACTGTATTGCTCACCTCTTTACTTGTAATTTTAAAAAACAATATTCATAGAGTATTACCATTTTCAAATGCCATCAATCTGACTGTAAAAAACAAACACATGTGGTTATTCTTTTTCTGAAGTTTGGTTATGCAGCTTTGGGGGCAGTTTTATTTTTACCCTCAGTATTTTTTTATTTTAACTAAATTTACCCGAGGTATCTAACTCTAAGTATATGCTTGTTAAGTACATCTGTACATGCTGACAATCTGTACTCATACTAACACACTTGAAGATGCATGTAAATGTGTTTGTTTTCTGGTACATTTATTCAGCTTCCTCCCCTCCGCCATATATTTTCATATAGTTTTTAACACAATCAGCCTAAAATATGAGAATCTGTAGAATATTCCTTTGTAAGACATATTAGAGATAAGTAAAATTGTATTCTAAGGGACACACTTAGATAATAGGCCTCCAGTATAGAAGATGGATGGCTCAAACAAAGGCAACACTCATGAATAAGTTACTACTCAAAGTAAGATCTGTGGGTGGTTGACGTGCATATCCAGCAGGAATAATGCAAACAGCAGATTTACAGACGGCGAGAAGTAAACTTGCGATTTGTCATTACAAAAATTGACCTTAGGTTTTTTAACATGAAAGTTTTAAATTCATTGTTTCAGTTGGATGGGTATGATTTTTTTTTTTTTTTTTGCAGTGGAACTTGTTTTAAATTTTCTGCAAATTAGTAACTTAGAACACATTTATTTTATCAAAACAAATGCTTGCTGTTAGAAACCTCTCACAATAAAATACAGGAATAAGTAATTGAGTAAATGGATGACTACATTGCATAATTAAGATGGCCTAAGGAGATCACCATCAACAAATTATTGGAGGAAAACCTGGACATAACCCTACAAATATGGGGGATGGGTTGAGACACCTTGCACAAACCAACAAACAACATCACTTGAGAGGAAAGATCAATTGTCAACTAAAACACAAACAGTCGGCATGGATTTATCTTGAAGGAATATCATGGACCAGCTTGGAGGAATCACTTGAAGAGAGGAAAATGGAGCGATGTAGATGTTTCCCTATACTCCATAAGCTGTTCATAAGATTGATGAATGTTCACATAGTGTGTGTTCCAATAACTAAGGCATATGAATAGATAGTGTGGTCTGAACTATGCCAGGCCCCCGTAACTTTCCCTAACAAAAGCCAGGTACCTATTAGAATTAGAGTTGGGTGGTCTCAAGGATGTCAGGGGGAATCAAACCTGAGAGGTTCAAATTTAAGACTTTCAGGTGGCAGTCAACCCTTCTACCATTCAACAACACTGTCCCTCATAATAAATATATATTAATAAGAAATGAACTACTTATCTAAGTCTATAAGTATTAATAAAACACTATTGCTGCCTACTGAGGGTAGACCAAAAAGAAAATAAATGAAAAAAATATAAAATATATATATACTCGTATTAGTTCCTGTATATATATATATATATATATATATATATATATATATATATATATATATATATATATATATATACACCTATATAGCCAGAAAAAGCTGTAATAAATTAGAAAACAATAATGATATTAAATTTACATTTTTTATTATTTAAACAAATAAAAAATGTAGGCGTATTGTATTACTGGTAATTGTTGGGATCACATGTTTCTTAACTGATTTTCTACATATAAATAAGAATATTTTAAAACACTTATAAAATTGCAGTTTCATTATACCACAAACTGTTTAAAAAATTTGTTTAGATGTATTAGCTGTACATTTTCATAGCCTTGTAGGCTACTTTAAAGTTTTAGAGTGTGCTTAGTAAGATGTAAAAATGTACCAAGTTATGAAAAATGGACAAAACAATTATCATTATTAGCTTTTAAATATTTAAATAAAAGTGCAAAATAATGTGTATAATTTATATAAAAAATAATTGTAAATGAAGATATCTTGATTTATTCTTAAAGAATTTATTTATATAATCAAAAACCATTTTAAAGTGTACAAGCTGATTTGCATTTTTAAATGGGTTATACATGTTTTTTTTACAATTTAAGATCTTAAGCCTTTTGACTGCTTTCACCATGTTTGGCACATAAAACTAAGTATTGAACAGCGAAATGGGGTTTAAAAAAAATTTTGGTTGTCATGGAAACACAAAAAAACCTAGCCATCTTGTATTGATACTTTGTAAAAAGCTACAGATTTTTTTATTTGTGCACTTATTTCTATCTTACATTGCTTATTTTATGTATATATTAAAACTTTTGTCAAGCCAACTTTTGATTGAGCTATTGGTTGGATTTCTACAAGATATGAAATTTAAATTGCACTCTTTTTGGTGTGTGTAAATTTTAAAATTTGCATTTTTTTTTCAAATACCTTTTTACCATCAAAACCATCATAATTCCCTCATGACAAGCATTTTATTATAACACGAAGAACAAATACTGAAAATACGGTGGGAATTGTATTATTAAATGGGAAAAACAGCAAAATGTAACAATAAGATGGTCTCGAAAATATCGTTGTTGTGTAATTTGTAACTAAAAGCTTGGTTGTTTATAAGATAACAGAAAATATGATTAATAAACACATGAGAAAACCATATCATGAACATTTTGTAGATGAATAAGTAAGATCTGTGATAGGGAAAAAAATATTTTTTAATTAATTGTGTCATAAAATTGTAATTTAAACATATAAAACAAAATTTTCTTATTAAAATTATTCTTTTCTTAATAAAAAAATTGACAAAGTATCCTAAAATGCAAGAAATGCGTAATTACGGAAATTATATATGAGCTGACCCGCAAAGTAGAATACGATGCCATCTAGTTGTTTTATTTTCTGCTTATCAGCAATTCCTAATTTGTGAATTCAACACTACCCCCCCCCCCCTCCCGCCCAGTGAAAGCAGCCGTTTATAGACAAAGAAAAGATCAATCAGGAATTGTTACCTCCCTTCGTTTCAAATTGTTTAATACTAAATTATCTGCCCCTAATAGCCGTCACTAACCCAGCTCTACGATTGTAAACATTCGGGGTGAACCACAGCTCACCTGACAGGTGGGGATGAGGGTGGTGGCTAAGCTGCGTGGTGTTTTCTATGGTCTCCATGAAGAGAATTATATATATAGATATTTTGCTATGTATGTCCCCTTAAATAGAAAAGTTCATTGACTACTACATAAAACAATGAGCAAAAGTGATTAGGACTTCATGTAATTGTTTTCTTGTTTAAATTGAAATATTTTTTTTGTTTTAATGATAAAATGAAAAAATTCAACTAAATTTAAAATTAACTGTTTAAAAAATTGGTTCAAACAAGAAAAACCATCAACAGCTATTTGTAAATAAAAGTCAACTAAATCAAATTATAAATTACACAACAAGTATTGATACTGTGCTGATTTAAATATGTTATCGTCATAGATTATATTATTTATATAACAATTGTGAACAAATCTAGGGAGATATTCAAAATTTTAACATAAAGCTGTAAAGAAATCTTTGCTAGGACCATTTCAATGCACAATTTAAACATAGAAAAACATTTTATTTACAGTTTCAACAAAACAAAAGTGTTATTTAAAATTTTAACAGAAAATAAAAATAAATATTGTTAGATAAAATAATAGTACTGAAAGACTGTTTATTTTATTTTAGAAAACAAGCTTTGGAAAACTTAAGAAATGGATATGTTTGAGATTCCTGTGTTATGAACAGCCATTCTGTTAAGATTAGTTGCAGAACTTCTGGCACTTTCTGGCTTAACAAGAGCAGCAGTACTACCTGATAAACTTTCTTCATCAAACTCAGACGGCAGGCCAGTTGATACTGAATCTGTTGTTAAATTTGTGAGTGACAATTTGTTAGTTTCAAATGTAAACATTTCAAAATACTTTGAAACACCTAGTAAATTAAAACATTCCTTACTAGATTGTCTCTGAATCCCACATCTGTGAGCATTAGCAATTTTAGTGATTAACTGATTATAGATCTTCAGGATGTGTGATAATTTTTGTAATACACAAGTTGCAACCTTATCTTTAAATTTACTAATATGAGCTAAACTATGTGTTGTTATTGTAATTGCTAAGCAAAAGACTTTTGTGTATGTTTGCATGCTTTTGAGGTAAGTAAGTTAATGTTTGTGGTTAATAGAAAACAGCAAAGAAGTTTTAGTTTGTCTTCATTTTGTCATCTAGATGTGAACATGTGTCCTGGGTGATTGTCTCTAGATGTGAACATGTGCCCTGGGTGATTGTCTCTAGATATCAACAAGTGCCCTGGGTGATTGTCTCTAGATGTGAACATGTGCCCTGGGTGATTGTCTCTAGATATCAACAAGTGCCCTGGGTGATTGTCTCTAGATGTGAACATGTGCCCTGGGTGATTATCTCTAGATGTGAACATGTGCCCTGGGTGATTATCTCTAGATATCAACAAGTGCCCTGGGTGATTATCTCTAGATGTGAACATGTGCCCTGGGTGATTATCTCTAGATATCAACAAGTGCCCTGGGTGATTGTCTCTAGATGTGAACATGTGCCCTGGGTGATTATCTCTAGATGTGAACATGTGTCCTGGGTGATTATCTCTAGATATCAACATGTGCCCTGGGTGATTATCTCTAGATGTGAACATGTGCCCTAGGTGATTATCTCTAGATATCAACAAGTGCCCTGGGTGATAGTCTCTAGATGTGAACATGTGCCCTGGGTGATTGTTTCTAGATATCAACAAGTGCCGTGGGTGATTGTCCCTAGATGTGAACATGTGCCCTGGGTGATTATCTCTAGATGTGAACATGTGTGCTGGGTGATTATCTCTAGATATCAACATGTGCCCTAGGAGATTGTCTCTAGATGTGAACATGTGCCCTGGGTGATTGTCTCTAGATATCAACAAGTGCCCTGGGTGATTGTCTCTAGATGTGAACATGTGCCCTGGGTGATTATCTCTAGATATCAACAAGTGCCCTGGGTGATTGTCTCTAGATGTGAACATGTGCCCTGGGTGATTGTTTCTAGATATCAACAAGTGCCGTGGGTGATTGTCCCTAGATGTGAACATGTGCCCTGGGTGATTATCTCTAGATGTGAACATGTGTGCTGGGTGATTATCTCTAGATATCAACATGTGCCCTAGGAGATTGTCTCTAGATGTGAACATGTGCCCTGGGTGATTGTCTCTAGATATCAACAAGTGCCCTGGGTGATTGTCTCTAGATGTGAACATGTGCCCTGGGTGATTATCTCTAGATATCAACAAGTGCCCTGGGTGATTGTCTCTAGATGTGAACATGTGCCCTGGGTGATTATCTCTAGATATCAACAAGTGCCCTGGGTGATTGTCTCTAGATGTGAACATGTGCCCTGGGTGATTGTCTCTAGATGTGAACATGTGCCCTGGGTGATTATCTCTAGATGTGAACATGTGTCCTGGGTGATTATCTCTAGATATCAACATGTGCCTTAGGTGATTATCTCTAGATGTGAACATGTGCCCTGGGTGATTGTCTCTAGATATCAACAAGTGCCCTGGGTGATTGTCTCTAGATGTGAACATGTGCCCTGGGTGATTGTCTCTAGATGTGAACATGTGCCCTGGGTGATTATCTCTAGATGTGAACATGTGTCCTGGGTGATTATCTCTAGATATCAACAAGTGCCCTGGGTGATTGTCTCTAGATGTGAACATGTGCCCTGGGTGATTATCTCTAGATGTGAACATGTGTGCTGGGTGATTATCTCTAGATATCAACATGTGCCCTAGGAGATTGTCTCTAGATGTGAACATGTGCCCTGGGTGATTGTCTCTAGATATCAACAAGTGCCCTGGGTGATTGTCTCTAGATGTGAACATGTGTGCTGGGTGATTATCTCTAGATATCAACATGTGCCCTAGGAGATTGTCTCTAGATGTGAACATGTGCCCTGGGTGATTGTCTCTAGATATCAACAAGTGCCCTGGGTGATTGTCTCTAGATGTGAACATGTGTCCTGGGTGATTATCTCTAGATATCAACATGTGCCCTGGGTGATTATCTCTAGATGTGAACATGTGCCCTGTGTGATTGTCTCTAGATATCAACAAGTGCCCTGGGTGATTGTCTCTAGATGTGAACATGTGCTCTGGGTGATTGTCTCTAGATGTGAACATGTGCCCTGGGTGATTATCTCTAGATGTGAACATGTGCCCTGGGTGATTATCTCTAGATATCAACAAGTGCCCTGGGTGATTGTCTCTAGATGTGAACATGTGCCCTGGGTGATTGTCTCTAGATGTGAACATGTGCCCTGGGTGATTATCTCTAGATGTGAACATGTGCCCTGTGTGATTGTCTCTAGATATCAACAAGTGCCCTGGGTGATTGTCTCTAGATGTGAACATGTGCCCTGGGTGATTGTCTCTAGATATCAACAAGTGCCCTGGGTGATTGTCTCTAGATGTGAACATGTGCCCTGGGTGATTGTCTCTAGATGTGAACATGTGTGCTGGGTGATTATCTCTAGATATCAACATGTGCCCTAGGAGATTGTCTCTAGATGTGAACATGTGCCCTGGGTGATTGTCTCTAGATATCAACAAGTGCCCTGGGTGATTATCTCTAGATGTGAACATGTGCCCTGGGTGATTGTCTCTAGATATCAACATGTGCCCTGGGTGATTGTCTCTAGATGTGAACATGTGCCCTGGGTGATTATCTCTAGATATCAACAAGTGCCCTGGGTGATTGTCTCTAGATATCAACATGTGCCCTGTGTGATTGTCTCTAGATGTGAACATGTGCCCTGGGTGATTATCTCTAGATGTGAACATGTGCCCTGGGTGATTATCTCTAGATATCAACAAGTGCCCTGGGTGATTGTCTCTAGATATCAACATGTGTCCTGTGTGATTGTCTCTAGATGTGAACATGTTCCCTAGGAGATTATCTCTAGATGTGAACATGTGCCCTGGGTGATTATCTCTAGATATCAACAAGTGCCCTGGGTGATTGTCTCTAGATATCAACATGTGTCCTGTGTGATTGTCTCTAGATGTGAACATGTTCCCTAGGAGATTATCTCTAGATGTGAACATGTGCCCTGTGTAATTGTCTCTAGATGTGAACAAAAAGTCAAGTGATAGTGAGGCTGATACTTCTCACAGTTGGTAAGGTACTACAACCCAAGTCGTAACACTTACCTGTATTAAAAATGGAACTGAGGTTATCACCTTCAGAATCACTGCTGAGATCATCTACATCTTTGATTTTATTTTCTGTCAACTCTTCATCAGTTAAATCTGTCTGTTTCCTTGCAAAGTTAATAAACACCTAAAATAGAAAGTTTGGTAACAAAATTGTGAGTTTAATGTTTAAAGGACCAGTTGAAAGCACAATAATATATATATATACACACAGACACTATATATATATATATATATATATATATATATATATATATATATATATATATATATATATATATATATATATATATATATATATATATATATATATACATATACATATATATATATACACACACACACATTTAAATACACACACACATATATATATACACACACACACACACACGTATATACACACACACACATATATATACACACACACACGTATATACAGACACACACACGTATATACAGACACACACGTACATACATAGACACACACGTACATACATAGACACACACGTACATACATAGACACACACGTACATACATAGACACACACGTACATATATATAGACACACATGTACATATATATAGACACACACGTACATATATATAGACACACGCGTACATATATATATATAGACACACACGTACATATATATAGACACACATGTACATATATATAGACACACACATACATATATATAGACACACACGTATATATATATATAGACACACACGTATATATATATATATATATATATATATAGACACACACGTATATATATATAGACACACACAAATATATATATATATAGACACACACGTATATATATATATAGACACACACGTATATATATATATATAGACACACACGTATATATATATATATAGACACACACGTATATATATATATATAGACACACATGTATATATATAGACACACATGTATATATAT